GAGAGTGCTCAAGAGACAGTATCCCCTCATTGCTGGTGGTAGCATCAGCAAACACCTCCACTGGAAGGCAGCGCACAGCCTCCTTGCTTGGACCTGGTACCAACATCATGTAAGAACCACGCTCAGATTATCACTCCACACAGTTCCTCTACAATCTACGAGGTTTTCTTCTGCAGAGAGTATGGCACAGAGGACAGTCCTTCTATTCAGCTATAGAAAGTATCTGTCCAGAAAGAGTGATGGCAAGTCCACCCCTAGATATTTTTGCTAGCTTTTACTGACAGCAGTTCTACTGGCTTGTAATGAATTTTAAAAGTGAAGCCATGGTCCTCTAAGCCTGGCAGCACTCTCAAGTGGTGGCACTTTTTAAAATATCCCTCAACCAAACTATCTTCCCATATCTGCCAGGACCCTGAGCCTCTAGGAGAGGGTGTAGGGAGTGGTTTCTATCCCACTGTAACAGTGGAACAAGTCCAAGACTTCCTCATGAAATTGAATGTGTGTAAGTCCATGGGGCCAGATGGTATCCATCCTAGAGTTCTGAAAGAGATGACTGATGTGGTTGCGAAGCCACTCTCCGTCGTATTTGAAAAATCATGGCTGTCCAGTAAAGTCCCCAGTGATTGGAAAAAGGGAAGCATTACTCCTATTTTTAAGAAAGGGAGAAAGGAAGACCAGTGAGAAAAGGAAATACAGGCTGGTGAGCTTCAATCTGTGCCTGGGAAGATCATGGAGCAGATCCTCCTAGAAGCTATGTTAAGGCACATACAAGACAAAGAGGTGATTCAAGACAGTCAGCATGGCTTCACCAAGGCCAGATCGTGCCTGACCAATCTGTTGGCTTTTTATGATGAGTGATGGCTTTGGTGAACAAGGGAAGGGCAATGGATGTCATCTATCTGGACTTCTGCAAGGCCTTTGATATGGTCCCTCACCACATCCTTCTCTCTAAATTGAAGTGATGTGGATTTGAAGGATGGACTGTTGGATGGATTAGGAATTGGCTGGCCAGATGCAGCCAGAGGGTTGTGAACAATGATTCTGCGTCAGGGTGGAGGCCGGTCACAAGCAGTGTCCCTCAGGGGTCAATCTTGGAGCCAGCCAGCTCTTCAACATCTTTATCAGTAACATAGACGATGGCATTGAGTGCACCCTCAGCAAGTTTGCCGATGACACCAAGCTGAACAGTGCTGTCAATACATCAGAAAGAAGGGAAGCCATCCAGAGGAACCTGGACAGGCTGGAGAAGTTGGCCCATGAAAAACTAATGAGGTTCAGTAAGGCCAAGCACAGAGTGCTGCACTTGGGTCAGGGCAATCCCAGGTATTTATACAAACTGGGGGAAGATTTCCTTGAGAGCAGCCCTGCGGAGAAGGATTTGGGGGTCCTGGTGGATGAGAAGCTGGACATGAGCCAGCAGTGTGCACTTGTAGCCCGGAAGGCCAACTGTGTTCTGGGCTGCATTAAAAAAGGGGTGGCCAGCAGACAGAGGGAGGTGATTGTCCCCCTCTACTCAGCTCTTGTGAGGCCCCATCTGCAGTACTGCGTCCAGGCCTGGGGCCCCGAGTACAGGAAGGATGTGGAGCTCTTGGAGCGGGTTCAGAGGAGGGCCACTGAGATGATCAGAGGGCTGGAGCATCTCTCCTGTGAGGAAAGGTTGAGGGAACTGGGCTTGTTTAGCTTGGAGACGAGAAGGCTCTGGGGAGACCTCATTGCAGCCTTCCAGTACTTGAAGGAAGCATATAAACAGGAGGGGGAATGGCTGCTTACAAAGGTGGATAGTGATAGGACAAGGGAAAATGGTTTTAAACTGAGACAGGGGAGGTTTAGGTTAGATATTAGGAGGAAGTTTTTCACTCAGAGGGTGGTGATGCAGTAGAACAGGTTGCCCAAGGAGGTTGTGGATGCCCCATCCCTGGAGGCATTCATGGCCAGGCTGGATGTGGCTCTGGGCAGCCTGGTCTGGTGGTTGGTGACCCCGCATATAGCAGGGGGGTTGAAACTAGATTATGATTGTGGTCTTTTTCAACCCACACCACTCTATGATTCTATCTATCTATCTATGATCTTCCTGTGATTTCCGTGGCATTTCCACCTCTGTTATACGTTTGCTTCTAGAGCTTACAGTCATTCTGCCTGATAAACTACTATAGATCCCACATTATTAACAGTGACAGCAGTGAGGGAAGTGAGAGGGTATGGAGAGAAGCATTCAAAATGCCACTTTACTGAGGAAGATGTTTTCTTTCTTTTAGGAGCAGCTAAATGAGGGTGGACTTGGCCTTGGGAAGAATGTGTAAAATCAGTCCTCTTCCTGGCTTATCCAGCCTCAGAAGGAGCTGCAACCATATGGAGACCCTTGCACAATTATGTCTTCACATCATATTTTCCAACATGATTCATATTTGGTCCAGACTCCTTTCAGATGGAGGCCAGGGAGATATTGAGTGCATCCTTACATGCCTGTTCCCAATAAAATTCACACACCTCTTCAGAAATTCAATAGGAGCTTTGAAAGCAAACTGAGCTGCTGCAGCTTACACTGGGCTTATGCCCAGACAATGTGTGCTGCTCAGTCAGACTTTGAGAAGTCCGAACTGAAAATAAAAAGATCAACTATGGAAAGTGAATTTTCACCTACTTTAGCTACTTTTTGAGACTACCAAAAATGCACAGAACATGGATTCACTGCCCCACTGAGAACGAATGACATTTTCTACAGCTATCAGCCCAGCTTACTTAATGAGCCCTGAAACCACTTAAAATGTGCGGGTGTGTGCATGCATGCATGTCCTGGAGGGCAGGGAGGCAGAGGGAACCAGAGACGTCTTATCAGAAAACACAGTCTGTTTGGCACACACAATCTTATCTAATTATTCAGAACATTTAACATCACCTAACTCCAGATAAGAATCTCTTTCCTCCTCCACCACCCTCTCTTTGCTGAAACTTAATACACAGAGACTAACACAGCACAAAACCATCTCATTGAACTTGGAGATGCAAGACGACAACTCATGACCTTTGCCATTGAGTGCCAGCCAAGTTACATATGTCTGGGAGTCTCAGGAGGCCAACATTTGTCACCACACTGACAGTGAAATATGGCTGAGCCCATTGTTTCACAGAAGTGCAGCAGCAGCCTCAACCCTGGCTAGTGGCAACAAGGGGCAGCTTGCAGGCTGTCACACAGCGTTCCCTGGGAGACCCTGATGTGCTGTGCACCTAGGACAATTCTTTGGGCCTGGGAGAGGACACAGCCATCAGGATGATGGGAAAGCTCAGAACGTCTTTGGAGACCAGGACCTTCATCATTGCCAGCCCTGAAAGGGTGAACAAATGTCATGCTTTGAGAAAGGCTATTACAGCTCGGAAGAAAAAAGTCCTCCCTCAGCAAAGCAATGCATTTCTGCAATAGGCTGCTACTTGTGAATCCTGTGCTCTTCAAACTGGGGGTTGCTGACTCTCCTGTGCACATTTCATTTAGCCAAGGGAAAGAAACTCTGAATCAGACTGTTTACTTGGGTGTAGCTGCTCTTCCACTGTGATGGCCAAATTTGTCTTGGAGACTTAGAAAAACAGCCAAAGGCCAAGCAGGCTGCCATATAGCTATTATTCATCATTTGGTGGCCACAACCAAATGGATACAACTGCAAGGACATTTTGCACTATGTTAAATAGACATGCACAAAAACCAAGTAGCAGGATGCTTAATCTGATTTCTGCTGTGTGGGAAAGCTCTGCCTCCAATTACTACCTTACAGCAAGGACTGAATTTAACTGGCTCCTGAATTAATCTCTCAAATCATTTGAATTTGAAGATATGTTTTAAAACAATCCTGCCTTTCCACATTTCTGCAGATGAGAATACCAGAACCACCTAGATTTTGACAATGCTCAACATTTGAGCACACATCTTTCACTTAAAGAGTAACATTGTTCCATTCTGGTACCAAGAATGTTGTGTCCTTGCCCATCGCTGAGGACTGACAAGATAATTGAAAACGTTACAGAAACCATGCTGTGATAAAGACACCAGAATACACCATTAATGGGGATGCATTATTAATTTTCATTTTAAACACCTATCTGCAGCTATCTGTGATGACAGGGGTCTTTTTCTGTAAGCTGAAGTAAAGCTGCAAGCCACATGCAACCAGATCAACACTCTGTTGCCAGCCGTATTTTCCCAGGCAGTGACAATCTCTGCCCCTGCTACTGTAACAACTACATTGCTGGATAATCGAAAGAAAGGCTCTCTTGCTTCTCCCCCATCTGAGGATACTTTCGATCACAGTGACTCCACAGGTTCCACCCTCACTGCTCTCCAAAAAAAAAAAATAAAAATAAAAAAATAAAAATAAAAAAAAAAGAGAGAGAAAGAAATCTCTCTAAGCTGTTCATGAGAAATGAAATGGGATTATCCCAGCTCTTGTCATCACCAAGCTTTTCAGGCTTTCAGACACCAGACGGTACCATGAAGTTGCACTTTTCTTCCTTCCAGCATCCCAAACTGCCAGGTTTATCTCACTTCTGATACTGTACTTGAAAATATACCAGCAGACATGCAGTGATACAAGAATGAAAGCATTAATTCTAAGTGCAAATATTTGCTTTTCTGCTTCTAAGCACTGTAGTATTTGACTCTGCTAAAATTGAAGACCCAAGTGTTCATCCAAGGCTATGGTAGCACAGTATGAATACAAGCTTTCTTCTTTGTTTTTGAAGCAACCTTAATCATTCTCTTTCTAGAACCAAAATTTCTTATATGATTTTCTAATCGTAGATGCCTCTATGATTTCTGGCTCACTACAGGAGTATTGCTGTGATAAATCCAGTAGGAACACTCTTTTTTTTATATGTAAAAGACTGACCATTCTTCTTTTTTGCGTTTAGCCATATGTCATTGTAGAGTAGAGGAACAAGGGTGTTATTTTCACAATTTTTCATTTTTTTTATCTTGGTCAGCAGCCTTTTTTTAAAAAGAAAACAAACAATTATTAATCATGCTGAATTTTTTTATTCATATTTTTATTTCTGAACTCTAAAAATAGCTCCATGTGTTAGTCCCCTTAAAAGAGGATTTCAATACTTTAACTGTAGAGTAGCAATCAGAAGAATACAATAAATAGTTCCCCGTGCACATAGATGGGTACACCTAGTTCAATATTCCATCTGACAGCAGAGGCCTACAAAAGGGACTAAGACAAAGTCAGTGTGCAGTAATGCCTCCTCAGCCTCCTGCAATTTGAAGGTGCTCCAGTTTGTATATCGTAGACCTTGGTGGGTTGGGTGTTTCAGAAGGAAAAGTCATGCATAAGACTGGAAAAATACACTGAGGAAATGAGACAGATATCAGAACTCTGCTAAAGTCAACAGATTTACATTTGAATAAAACTGGTAGGAGAAGAAAAGTAAAGGTAGATTTTAAAATAGTCTGTGAATAAGCAGAAGAATTTATCTTGACTGAAAACAACAGGAATACATCATGGTAATTTTTATCCATCTCTGAGCCAATTCTTAGCTTCAGAGTTTAAGCTCTTATTACTCCATACATTTTTTACGTAGTGTTGAACAACTACACTATTCCATTTCATTTCACTTCAGTACATTTGGGACATGTTCTTCATAGGTAGAGATTAGAGCAGGAAATTCAAACCATCTCAAAGGTAGGAAGCTCCAGTCTACTCAACACAAGGAGATGCCTTAGTAGCGTATCACACCCCTTACCAAGCAGGCTAGCCACTTCTGGAGAGTGGGTATGATGGCCCTGATATCTCCACCCATTTGGTGGTGGATGTCTATGAGAAAGCAAGGAAGCAGTGAGTGCACACTGTGTGTAATATTGTCTTGAATGTTCTGAGAGGTTCAGAATGGAGGCAAGAAGTCAGGGAGCCAGGGATGAGACAACCTGGAAGGTAGCAATACAGGTCAGATCTAATGGTTAGATCTCTGCCAGCTCCCATGCCAGGATTCTCTGGAGAACCACCTGCAATCTGCTTCTTTCTGATGATATGGTTGACTACTGTCTTATCCTTTCTCTTGAGAATTACCCAAGCTAACAGAGACATGCCAGAAAAAAAACAGAAGGTCTGTGTAAAAACACAAAAATATTTACTTTTGGGTGCAGCACTGAAATATCTACTATCACAGTACAAAATCAAACTGTGTCCTCCTAAAACTCTTTTTATATGTATGTGATCACATAAAAAAAAAAAAATTAACTCCTGAGAAAAGGGAATACATTAATTCTGAGTGTCTTGGTGATGTTATAAGCACAGGGCACATCTCCATTGTCCTCTAGAAGTCGTTCTAAGACCCAAGGGATGTTTCCAAACTTGTTTTAACTTAATTATGCTGAATACTGACAACAACAGAACTAAGGAAGATGAGCTATACCAAGTCAAAGTCCTTATGGTTCCTACTCATTTCAAAGTTCATGATGAAGCTTATTACAAGAACAGCAGTTCCTTATTGCTGAGAACACTAGTCATAGAACTGTGTAAACATGAAAAGGTTCAGTTCTGGGTATAACTATCCACCACCTGCTGCTTTCCAAAACCATTTCAAGAGCCCGGTTCCCAGTGAACGTGTCCATACCACAGAACCGTCACACCTTGTACCTTCTCACATCTCCCTTGAGCACTTCCAGATGGGACATCCCTCTGCTCTGAGGCATAGTTCTGCCTGAGTACTGCAGGTCATCAGTGCAACAGTATTACAGAGGATGTAATTATGTTCTTCAGAAAGAGAGAAAAAATCATACTTACAGTGACATTGCTTCAGGGAATAAAATTTGAAACAACCCTTCCTTGTTTCAAAGCTATAAATAACTCAAATATCTTACCTTTTGAATGCTATGAATGCTGTAATGTGCTCCTCTCTTGCATTTCTCACAGTAACAAAAACAGTGCTTCAGTGAAGATAGGATAAACAACAGCAGACAAATCTTATCTGTGAACATAGTTGCATCCTTACAGCTGAAAAGTAATCAGAACATTAGTTATACAAATAGCCAACAGAAAATAATTGCAGGATTTGATTATGTATCTATATGACAGCCCTTCTAGCCCTCATATTCAAACAAAACCAGATTGCATAAGCAATGATCCAGTGAAATAAATTCCATCAGAGAAACAAGTATATGTTTATAGATTTGGAGATCAAAGCATAAAGATGATTTCAAGCAGAGAAACACTGGCATGTAAACACAATGAAAGTGTTCCCTCTGGTCTCAAGCAATGTCTTACAACACCCTCTGTGAACCTCTAAAGGAATACCTATGTGCAGGCCTGTTGGTGTTGTTTCAAAGAAAAAGAAACAAAAGTCCTTGTTAAACTGACAAGACTTGCCTGTGGTAAACAAGCAAGATGTTGAAATCTTTTTCTAATCCACTTCCAAAATGATTTTAAACTCTAAGATTTCTCCAAAATACTGTTGTTTAAAGCCTAGTTGTCTCCAACATAAAAAGCAAAAATGGTTATCAAGCCCTGCAATACACGGCTTATATGGTTGTCTAATCACAGAAGCCCTTACTGTTTCATCAGAAGCACTGCATCTCTTCAAATAGTCAATTATAGTTTTAAGATTCACATTGAATTTATTTCACTTGGTTTTGGCTTTCACTTTTGCCTGCAGACTTCTATTCATTTGGTTAGTTTCTTTCTGTAATTTTACCCTATCCCGTTTTTTTCTGGGATTTATGGTGTCAGCCTGCCTCCAAACAGACTTTTATAGCATCTTTCCAGGGCCTGAAGTAGGATGGCAGTTTCTTCAGTTTATGTGAAGCACTGCATTCACCAGCTACTTTCTGTCTAGCAGAGCTGGACACTGAGAGCAGATGTCTTGAGGCAAGGTCAGCTGTACAGAGCCCTCACAAAGCCCCAGCCTAAAGCACAGCCACACAGCTTCTGAGTATTCCAGTCCCAGCCTACTGGCTGGTAGGTAAGGCGTGCCCCAGGGGAAGATAAGGAAGGCAAAGAGCTGAGCTTTATGGGGGTGCTTCTCACTGACCTCACCTCATCCTGCCTCTGAACTTCGAGCACGTGCCCAAACGTTCACACACCTTGCCTCTGGGAAGTAAGCTCTGATTCTGAAAGATGCTGAGAGAAGGCTGAAGCTGCAGGACAGTAAGAGCCAAGCACTATGTTTAATATCCACTCTCTGAGAATTGCTGCTGACTTACCATTTTAATTTACATCTTTCTTGCTTGGACCTTTTTTAAGGCTGAGTTCATAGGTTCCACAAATACAATTCAAACACCACAACCACAATCTGCACTGGACAGTGGCTTGATAACAGTTATGACTGTCCTCCCACTCCTGAGTTGTGTAGATCAGCTCAGGAGCACAGTAAAGAGCTCACTCCAGATGTCTTGAGAGGAATAATATGACTGGCAAGGTTGTCTCAGGTTTTCCCTCAGGCTTTTTGTTTGTGGAAGCAGCCCTGTCCCTTTAAAATAACATTGTTTTCTTTCTGAATATTATTCTACAATAGTACTCATGATGGAATTGAACTGGCAACAAACTCTAACTTTCTAAAATGTCAACACTACAGCTGTTGTATGAGCTGCTGAGGGCACGAGGAAAGTGAAATCTAAAATGGACAGAGTGGGTGCTCTCAAGATGGATCCATCCATCTTTCACTGACTACTGATAGGATTTCACTAGTTTACATTACATACCAGGCTTTCACACTCTTAAAATTAGGTGAGGTGAATCTCATTTTCAGCAATTACAGGAGCTTGAGCTTTATGTTTTGAATTCTGAGGTGATGAGCTCTATGAAAAACAGCTCATCAACAAAATTGGGGGTCTATGGCAGCTTAACAGCACTGGTGAGTGTCAACAGAAGGAGGACCCAAGCATTTGGTTTCTTCTGATTCTGCCTGTGAATGGTGATTTTGACCAGCTCTTTCTGTCTTTACTCCATCTTTTATAACAAGTGAACAAGTGTTCTCTGAACAACTTTCTGACTGTTACTAATCTGAGAAATACCAAGCACCAAATATCAAGAGTAATAACAGCAGCATTTTCAAAAACGTTGCAAAAATCTTTGCCAAAATATTTTGCACAGCAGAATAAACCAAAACTCTTACCCAGATGATAGCTCTGCTGTACACATACAAACAACAAAAAGTTTTTTACCCTGTTATGGTGGTGCCTTGAGAGTAAATAAATTATCCCACTGCAGGCTACAGTTAAACCCCTGTTTTCTTCACACTCGTATTTTGCTGTGAAGGTGCTGACTAATTCAAGAAAAGCTGGTAGCCTGCCAGTACTTTCCCATAATTTCCCTTGAGGGATAAACAGATTCTCCCCAAATTGACTGAGAAAGTACAGGACAAGGAATTATGCAGCCAGATCCATGCAACAAATTGTAAAAACAATGAAGAAACAATTACACACATGTGAGAGCGCAGTTCACACCCAGCGTGCATTAATTTGTGTGCTGAGACCTGAGAGACCAACTCTTTCTCTGAAACTGAAATAAAAACATCCTGTAAGGGTAACCTGCATGTCCTTGAAATTTGAAATATTGTATCATTGGGGAAAGCTTATTAATTCTGAAAATACCTGTTGTCAAGGATTTCTGGGACTGTCACTAAAACACGGTAGAATAGTTCTGTAGAAGAGGTTTTGAATACAATGACAAGGATGATGTTCAAAAAAGAGACTAAATCAGCTGGGATTTACCAGCCTAGAGAAAGGACAATGAGGGCAAAATAGAAGCAGCACAAAGAAGTGTAAGTATAAAACAAAAATACGAAGAGAGTTGTTCATTATTTCGCAGAATGAAGGAATGAGAAAAGATCAAATGAAATAAAGAGGCGGAGGGATTAAAACAGGAGAATATGGGCTCTTTTCATGTAGATTCTAGTTAAACAGTAGAACTCATTGATGGCAAGAAGTGTCAGAAATACAGAGAGAGATAAGAAAAAGTCATGGAGAAAGCATCCATCAGGAACAAATGCCTGGGGAATCAACAGATGGCTCAGGAAGTCTGGGCAGCAAAACTAGGGAAAACATTCTTACTTGTTTGCCTTGTCCGTGTGCTTCTTCCCCAAACATATGCTCTGGATGATTGTCAGATTTTGACAGGTCTTCTGCATTTTTGTCCTGACCCAATACAGTCTTTTTTTTACACACGTAATCAGTGTCTATCTTCGGATCTCTCTTTCACTGCTCTGTTTATAAATATTTTCTGAGGTTTTGCAGTGTAATATTACCTTCAAAGTGCATTTTTGTCAAGGCTGGTTTTTTAATATTTCATATGTCCATGTTTCTCAAGTTATCTGTTGGGTCTTTGTCTCCAGAAAGTCACTGACTTTGTCATATTGAGGACTCTGATCTATATTTCTTGATAGAAGCTTTCAGACATAATGAGACTTCCTCTTCATGTGTGTTTTTTCTTAAACCTAATCAAAACAAAATTAATATTTTTTGTGAGCAAAATAGAAAAAAATATTTAGAGACATTCTTGCCAGTATTAAACAATCAAACTGCAGTAATGAGTAAGCATGTTATGAATACCAAGTAAGGCTACATCAACGATTAAAATAAATAAACAGAAAACTCTTTTCAGCAATTTGAGGACCATATTTGATGCAATGCATTTTTTTAACTAGCCATCAGAAGTGTGAGTATGAGTAAGATGCAAGAGCTAAAAACAAAAACAATGAGCCAGTGTTCAGGCTTACAGAAGAAGGAAGTATGAGCGAGTTAAAAAGCAACAGAGAAGTGGTAAATAGGCAAAATAATAAATGCAAATAAATCACAGCTGCAGAGGGAATTACGGAAAGTTAAATGTTTGATGATGTGAAATCTAAGTAGTTTAATTCTATGTGTTAATTATTTTGAGTGCCTTTTGCAGCATGCTGAGTCTAGTGCAACAGTATGAATCACTGTCTAGGCTTAAATGTGAACCACAATGGATTTTATGCCAGTGATGGAGTCTGTTTTCCCATTTTAGTACTAAGCAAGTCTTCAGGAATTGTTTATTTAAGGCCCTTTGCTTAGCTTCTGGTTCATCTTTGTGCACATCAACGGTTCTCTTTTCACAAACGCCTCCATATCTCATTTTGAAACAGGCAAAAGGGCTATTTTTTCATTCCCCTAAAGAGGCGAGCTGTCTTGATACAAATATTGATATCACTGTCTTGCTACAGCTGATTTCAGAATGGGCTCATGCTTCATATTGCATCGCATCAGTGTTCTGTGAGAAGCACTCCTTCAAACCCTGGCTCCTACAGGTACAGGATTTTGACATCCTGGTTCAGTTCCCTGCAAACTCAAAACACAAGGAGGACCCTGAAGTTACTATAATGTATTCTGTGGATTTTTCTCCTTGTGCTATGATTCATTAGTTAGTAACTGATGATGAGCTGATGAAGTGGTTCAGATCCTTCAGGAAAAAGGAGATCGCTCTGGATTTTTTTTCCTTTTTCTTAATTCACTCACTCCAATACAATAGGGAATTTCTTGGTCCGTGTTATTTGCACGTCAACACACCAGAGCAGAAAAGATTTGAAAGATGCATATATCACAGACTTTCTTAGAGGTGAGTTATGGAATTCAGTTTAAATTACAACTTACAACTACATGTGAACAAGTCCTTTAATCCTTGTATTAACAGCCTTCAATGAACTTCAAATTTATTCCCAAGCACAATTTACAAGGATCACTACTTCTCAAGATAGCATTAGCTTTCAGGAGTGGTAAAGTGGAACTGAGTGAGTAACACGTTTAGACTAATATTGCTTTTTAAGCACTGCTAACGTGCTTTAAGACAGAATGTGCTAAGAGCTTAACTGATGCAGGTGCTTAACACAAATCATAGCAGGATTCCTATCTATATCGTTAGTTAAACTGAATGTCTTAGTTTATAAAAATCTATATTTTTATATGCTATATTTTCTGTGGGAAAGAAACGAGCTATTAGTTGACCACGACGTGCCACACACATTTATGCCAATACCCAAATCATGACGGTATGATATGATGTAGATATTATCTCGGAATCCACCAGGTGGCAGTGTCATGGTTTTCTTCTCATCGTGTCCTGAAACATTCGTTTTCTTTTAAAATATCTAAATGTCACCGGGAAATTTATCATCCCAATTTTGAAAAATCTGGAGAAGTTGTTGGGACATCTGCTTTATTTCCAAAAGCCAACACAATGAGAAATGATTTTCTTAAGAAAAGGCAGAAGCCATTGTGCAAGGACGAGGAGCCTGGCTTCTTGTGAGGCATCTGTCGTGTTCCTGGGCGCTCAGCGCTGGGTGCCTGCACAGACTTGTGCAGGATGCTGGATTTAGGTGTGATCGTATCCTGACCAGAAATCAGAACATCATACCCTGAAAGCAGGCAGTCCTCAAAACCCATTTCCATTTTCAGTTGTAACAGAAATATTAAAAAGGAATGGCAATTTCTCTCTATTTCTGTTTTATTTAGAACATCTTATCCTGGCTTTGTTATTTAGCAAACCTACCAAATGGCAGGCCTATGTTAATTTATATCAGATTTCTCTAATAAAATGCACCTTATTGGGAAAGTGGGATGCAAAATATGACCATGAATATGCTCATGAAAACACTGCAGTATATTTTTCAAAATGTTAGAAATGCAGAACAACTAATACCTAAAGAAAGACGCAGCCTTGTCCTCTTCTAGTCTTCCCAGGGCAATACAACTTCCCTATTGCAAATTAAGGAAAAGGTCATACAGAATTTAACAAGTGGTTTCACTTGAATCCCCTGACTCATATCACCTTTGCACTCGTGCTGTGAGCAATTGCTTTCAGTGCTGGCTGTGTGCCAAGGCAAAGCAGGATGGCCCGTGAAGCTTCCATCACATGGGAAAGGTTGATGCCATTGGGTAGGTCCCATCCATCAAGACCTGTCTTTTCTCCTAGGAAGATGGCTAACTAATGCAATCTTATTCAAACACAATATATCAGCTCCAAATTTTTGTACAACCGGCATGAGCTTTCCTCCCTTGTTCCAGCAAGCCCTGCAGCATCCACCAGGGATATGAAGGCAGGAATACACAAATAGAGTTGTTCTCAGCAAATGCTGTGCTGCACTGCTGGCTGGCTCGACCATCAGCTCCTTGCCAAATGACAAGCTAATAAGCTCCATGGTAGTTAGACACTAAGGACATCCCCCTCCTGGAAAGTTTCTGATTGAAAAAATGGTGATCTGCTTCATATAAAGCTAATGTTAATCAGGTGCTGGAACATTTAGGATATAAACAGCAAAAAGAAACAGGATAGCCCAGGTGTCCGTTTTGAAACTGTCTCCAACACCACAGTGGCAGAAAGTAGTCCAAAAGGATCTCATTAGCCCTGCCTTTAATGAAAACTTAATGAAGCTGTTAATTTTCATAGCCAGTAACATTATCCATACAAATTTTGCTGCTCCTTTACTCTGAAGAAGGAGAGAAGACTCAAAGGTGAGGGGTCTAATGTAACATTTCATAATGGAAAAAAAGCAACAGATGTTTTGAGACAAGAAATTTAGGAGAAAATTAGGAGCTGCGTAAGAGTTGGGGTTTTGTATTTTCATTTGTGGGCTTTGTCTGCTCTCTTTTTTGAAATAAAAATGATCTACTTCAAAATCTCTTGGACTAAATCACAGATAAAAAAAAATTGAGCAAGAATATCTCTACTGAGTCTTGATCCAGATTAATTGGTTTGAAATCTCCATCTCTTGCATTTGCCTAGGTGCTTCCTTCACAGTAATCAGGCAAAAAAAAAAAATGCAGGTTCTTCTTTTCTAACTACCAGTATTCAGCTGACAGATCCAGAGAAGAAATATGTACGTCATGTATCTCATATGCAATATACGAAGAAAAACTGTTTTGTGTTTTAGATGAGCTGAATTACATTTTCAGATGTTAGATGTCAGACGTTTCCCTCTGTGCTGCCATTAACTATAAAAGGAGGCCAGACTGAGGATTCCAGCACAAACACACCTGAAAGTGTGTTGTGAAAGTGTCTCCAAACACACCTGAAGTGAAGTGAGCAGAGTCTTGCCCAGGTGTGGGGAATGGAGCAAACCCCCTCCTAGCACAGAGGCCACCCCATGCAGGGGCAAGACTCTGGAGACCTTCCTTTCCTTCCTAAAAAGGAGCAGCCTTTCCTTTTAATCTCCAGCTACACCTCCACCCTGGCCATTCCCCTGACATATTTGTGTTGGGATTAGGCCTCTTCCCTGATTAATGCCGATAGGATGCGTGTGGTGAGACACTTTGCAGTCTTCTAAGATAAATAATGTTAACAGTTATTACATCATTAGTGTCATTAAAGAGCACTAGCACATACCAGCAAAACATTGGTAATATGTTTTAGCTCTGAGAAAAGCATCAATAACTAATTTGAGATGTAAAATTTCTATCTATTGTTACACATTCAGAGACTGGAAACACCCAACCTGTAGAGAACCTTTCTGGGGGGGGCTGGGTGCCTCCTGGTGTCCAGCTGAGCTCAAAAGCCAGCTTGTCTGAGTGACCAAGAGGACTTGCTGCATTTGGTGACCAGGTGACCAGATGATCCAAATAACTAACTTCTTCCCTGAATCACAAGAAACACTTACAAACAGGCTATAAAGCAGCAAGATGCAAACAAGCTACTGACGTACAGAGTAACAAGACAAAACAGAAGACTTGGCAAAAGGAAATATTTTCAGAATTGGCTGTGTAACCAACCAAATGTCCTAACTTCCAAGTTGCCCTTTTAATAGTATTTTGACATCAGGCTTCCTTTCCTGACCCATTTAGGCAGTGAAAAGATGTTTTCTTTAGGACTGTTGGACCTTCAGAAAGAGAATTCTATGTAAGACCTACTTTCCTCTCCCTGCTTCTCTAGAGGTTGCCTACCTGTCTTGTTTTAGACAAAGCAGGGGTTTTCTCTGTTCTGCAGTCCCTCCTTGGTAAAGTGAAGATAATAGTGCTTCTTATTTCAGAAGTAGTTTTTGGGGTAGATTAAGACAGCAGGATTTTGAGATGTTCTTCAGTGCATTAACATGGGAGACAGATATTGGTGAAAGAGCTTATGTAACAAAGAAGAAGAAAGAGTAAAATCTTGTCTCTTACTTGGGAGTCAAACTTTGGGAGCTAACGTGGGAGTCAATCAGAGCTGGATTTGTCCTGATGGTAATTGCAGCTTTTAGGGGATCATTTAAATTGTCTGTCAAATGAAAATATTTCTGTATAATGAGCATGCTATTAAAAACATCCCTGGCAGACCGAGGGCAGACACAGCCACCATACCTATGAGGGGCTGGCACAGGCACATGGCTCCAAACGAGTCGTGTGGGATGGCTGTGCCCAGTGCCTGGGCCACTGCCATGGGTATGCCTGATCCTCCACAAGCATTTTTTGTTCATATCAGAGGTAAAATGAAGCCAAAAGAAGTGACCAAAATCAGAATGCTTGCTCATTTTTTCCTCAGAGTTTGCCTTGAGACGACCTGCTAGAAAGACTCCACGTCATCAAGTAGAGGAAAGCAGAACATAAAACTACACTGATGGAGTAATCTCTTTTGGTTTGGCTCAGCATCACCTAGAAACTACTTATTCGATTTGAAAATGCTCCTAACTGCAAAATGAAACTTTAAACTCACCTGAGTGCTTGCTGTTGTGTTAAACGTGCCTTCTCTCTGGATGTCACACAGCACTGCTAACAGCTCCCAGTGGAATACAACAGGGAAAGTTTCATCAGCAGTACAGGAACACTCTGATTTTGTGTCTATTTGTGAAGAAACATTCCCATCAGTGTGGATGTATTGTTATATGCACAACTATTTTCTGGCTACACTAACATGGGTGTGCTCCTGCCTAATTTTAAATAATGGGATTTTAACGTTGACTTCATTCCCTGCAGTATTAAATTCATAATCATCACATGAGTATAATTACATTATGAAAGTTATTGAAAGGAATAATCTCCTATCAAGATTCTTATGAGCTGGGCTCTATCCTAAACCAGCCTTATGAAATACAGCTCTTGGCAAATATCATATGCTTACATCATGACAGAATCAACAATGTTATTCTAAAGCTCACTTAAAAAATGCAGATTCTTTAATGGTAATGGACAAATCTAGTCCTGACTTGCAATTGGCTTTGTCACACAATACTTTTCCTTAACTTTTAAAAAAAGTATTAAAGCAGGTATGTAAAATGTAACACCTTCTAAACCACATCTGGGAAATACCTCATATTTAATGACATTAAGTAAAAAGCATTTTTATAACTATGCTCTTCATGGCCAGGAGACATTTAGTACAATTTGATGCAGACGTGTGCATAAAGAACCAGATTTTACAAATCAATAAGTAATTCTGCATATAAGACCCTAGGGATGGTAAAAAAAAAAATGCTGATAACGTGGATACAGCTCCCCAAAACAGGCAAATTCCCACTAAACTAAAGCAGCTGGAGGTTTTGCCAAAAATCTCCATTTTGGTCATTGTGGACAACTAAGACGCAAGCTCTCAGGACTGCAAATATTTATGGATAAGATTAATTTCATTCCTAAATGTTCTCTAACACTTCTTTTTCTTCTCACTTGAACGTTTAGCCAAGGAAACAAAAGTCAACACAGCGTCTATTTTTCCTGTATTCCCTGGAATTTTATGGAACTTTTATAAGGATAATCTGTGTTTTAAAAGTGTTTTCCTCTCTCTCCCATATTGAAATAGCATAAAGAGCAAAAAAAAAAATAACTTCCAGTTATTCTGATGATAAGCAAAGTGCTGTAAACGCAAGAAGCAAGTGTGAGGAAAATAAAATGATTTTTTTCTCAAACTTTTCTGGGTTTTACCCATCTGGGATACTTACAGCAGCATTACCTGAGGCAGCAGTATCCTGAGATGCTTTCAGATAGAGGAGATATCTGAAGGCGACGGTTCTCTAGAAGCTTGCAGGAACTCAGTGAATGTGCTAGGTGTGCAAACAGCGCCCTGCAGAGCTGCGTGGTGAGCTGTGAGATTTGGCACAAGCACAGAAACCAGCCTGCAGATGCCCATGACACCATCAGACCCAGGTACGTGCCTCACTTTAGGTGTATGTGAATCTCTAGTGAAGCTTACATCCTTCCTGAATTGGCTGAACGAGGCCAAGCATCAGTTCACCCATGCTTACATGTTAGTGCAGGCACAGCCTCCCCCTGCCCACCAGGTGCACACATTGCTGGAGGCAGGACTTGTCCCTCTGCTTTTAAACAGGCAGATTTTCTATTTCCAGCCTGGTCAATGATCTGTCTGCTGTGACCTTTGTAAACACAAACGGCAAAGCAAAGGGAAAAAAAAAAACGAAAACGCTGTGCTGCAGTCACAGCAGTCAGGATGAAAGGAAGCTCATGGAAACTTTCTAGCAGCCAGTGCGCAGAAAATCCTGCAATGCTGGAAATGGCACAAGTAGTGATTTTACTACAAGTGCTATGTCAAAATAAGGAGGGAATTTATTAAAAATCTACTGAAAAGTATGTTCAGAAACAGTTATCAGACTTTTTAAAGACAACTGAATGCGTAATAACGCTGAAAATACGAATCTGATAGCAAATTCCTCACTGTGTAAATATCTTGCTTTTGACTATCATAGGGTTTGTTTCCAGTTAATAAACAAATGAGCTAGCAGAGTGGTACATGTATGATATAGGTTTGGGATTTTTGCCTCGTCTGTCTGAAACAGTTCACATGCTAGAAAAGTCTTGAAAAAGGCTTGAAAGCCTTCTCTCCTGCTGTTTGAGCTCTCCAAAGGCACCGAGGGCTACTGCAGCTGAATCCGTTTCAGGGATGTGAGCATAAAATCATAAAGGATATAGCTTTTCATCCATTAAATGATTTCTTGGTTTTGTACACTCAAAGATACTCATTCCGGGATTTAATGTGTTTCAACACAGCTTGGAAGGGAAGCACAGCCGAAGTGGGAGCGGGGCTGCAATCCACACCATCTCCTCCCAGCTCCCTGCTGTTTTCCAGAGGGCGAGGAGCCACCACGCTTTAAATGCATATAAATCTCGGCTGCTGCGAGCCCACCCTCCTCCATGGTCCCTGACCCCATCCCTTTGCAAGCACTAGCACTCATGTTACTCATAGCAGATGCATGGAAGGAGCTGATCTGCCTGTAAAATAATCTTTGTTCTTTCAAGTGATTAATTTCTCCTGGATTCCTGAACTCTGTGTACCAGCTGCCCACATGCTCATCGAGCCCTGGGGCTGGTACAGCAGTGGGCAGACCCCTGGCCATGCAGTCTTCACGTGCAGTGACCACAGTCATACTTTCCTCTCTTCTCAGCTTCGCTGATGCCTGCACTGCTCGGGTTTGGGATTCACTCAGTTGTGGTGTTCAGTAGCAATGTTAAATCCAGAAGGATAAACAAAGAGAATAAACATCACCACAAAAACTAAAAAAAAAGGTGTTTCCCTTTGCTCCATCAGTAAATGCAGAAAAGAAACCACAGGTGGGAATGTGTTCAGCTACGATCTTAATCTCAGCCTGGTGATTCCATACCAGCCAGACCTGCCCAGGGTAACTCAGTGGCCAGAGATGAGGGTTTCCACCTGGGGACATCTGCAGCCCTCAATTGCAGGCTGAAATTCTCCTATTGCCACTGTTGATCCTCTCGCAGACAAACATGCAATACTTACTAAGCTTTCATTATCCATGGGCTTAGTTAATAAATACCTAAATAATAAATAAATAAATAAACACGAAGTGCAGGGATAACCAAATCTTCGGAAACTACACTTCAAAGTGTCAGTTGTGATACTTTATTTGGTAGATGCTCTTGTCCCACTCTGAGCTGTGGTCATGCTTCCTCCAGTGCCCAGCCCACGTGGGGGTTTTAAGCCCAGGAAGTACTGAAGCTAAGGATAGATTATATCAGACTGACTTGAAGTGATGAAATAATCGGAGGAAAAGTTGCCTCAGGTACAACTCCTCCCCAGAGCTGCCCCGGAGCTTCACCAGGCTGCCTTGAACTGAGTGAAGGGCTGCAGTTATGGCAGTCCCACATCACCCCACAGGTTGGCTACAGATCACTGTTCTGTAGGGCAGTTGGGATCAGTGCAGTCACCTAAGGCTCATTTTTGCACCTTGAAGGGTGCTGCTGCAGGAGGCTGCCTGATACCCACCACTCAGCTCAGCTCTAGTGATCTTCTCCCATATTCTTAAGCTTTAAATTGATTCATTCCCACTGTTGTGCTCCTGGTGAAATCATTTACCCATGAGAAAGCCCTGTTAAGTCAGAAGTCTCTGGAGTCTCACAATGACATTTACATTTTATATTCGCTTCCAGAGGTGTGAGTGATGGCAGCAGAGGGCAAAGACTGAACATGCTGATAGTGCTGTATAGATGTGGTGCCATATAGCGTGATTTGGTTCTACATAAATGCATTTTTTTAATATATGATTGGTTTAAAAAGGGGGATAAGTCCAGATTCAGAGAGACAGTCAAATATCTTGTCCTTATTTAAATTAAATAAAAATTGAGTACCAAGGTGAGTCTGGATGTTATACTCCATCTTACCACCTGCTCTTAAGATAACCAAATCTTAAGCTCTGAGTAAGATATTCGGTCATAATCAGACCTGCTGGACTGAATCTGTCCTCTTATTAAGTTCCTGGTGTACTATTGCTAATGCACTGAAGTATAAATTGCACTGTTTTCTCCTTCCTCCTTGCATCTGAGAGATCAGCGTAAGCACAGCCTTACAATTCATGTCTCTAACTGCACGTCTCTTTTGTTGGACAAGTTGTTGTACTCCTCAGCTCCCTATCTCTAATCATATGAGAGCAGCATGTGCCCAGATTCCCACGGGTGAGCTCTGGCTCTCTGCTGAACACATCACGTTGACTGATGCTCCTTTACACTTTTGAATTGCTTTCTTCCAGTGCCATCATCTTTCTGAAATGTGCCACGACTGCTATTTCTACCAGCACTCTTAGTAGTAGTGTGCAGATGACCAGTCCTTAGAGACAGGCATGAGGGAAAGTTGTGGTGAAAGCACAGTGGTCAATAGGGAAGTAGCAGAGTAACTGCTTCACCTGAGCCTTGAAGATGCCTCAAGCCTCCAAGAAACTGCTCATGGTGCATACATACCACCGCAGAAATAGTAAAGGGAGGATTATCAGAGCACCGCTGCAGTGTGGCTGTCTCATGCAGCGAAGCTAAAATAACATGGCACAAGCATGGTCAGAATGGAAAGGAAACATCTGTTTCTCCCTTGTACATGAGTGACAATCCATTTGTTAGCTGCAGAATAACACTGGCTGTCCCACTGGTAAGGGCTGGGCGCTGGCTGCCCAGCCCAGGCAGATGTGTCAGTGCTGGGAGCAGAGGGGCTATCCTTGTGGGGTGGACACTGGGCTGAGAGCTGTTTCTTTACCCCATTCTTTCAAAAGCAAGACGAGGGATTCATCCAAATTTGGTGTAACAGTATGGATGCACACTAATGACTTGATCAGGAATCAAAACCCAGTGAGCAGTACTACGCAGCCGTGCATTTCCCACCACGGGCTGACATTCTGCTTCTCAGCCTTCCTTCTCTGACTACTGTTGAGTATTAATGGAAGTAAAGGTCACCAAAGCATGGACAGGTTCCCAGTGCCTCCAAACAACAGGATGGCATCACTGGGAACATTGCCTCACTGGTTACTTGTTAGCAATTTCAGCTCTCAGGGCACCAAAGAGACAGGCTTTGTTTTCTCTTGGTCTAGCTTTTCTGTGTTGCTAACTCACACTGGACAAGAAGACAGGAAGCACATCCCTCCTGTAGGCACTGCACCACTTTTATTGCCACGCGCTCTTTTTGCTATCTGTTGTCAGTAACAGATACTGAGCAGGAAGGATTTCACAACTTAAACACATAAAAGGTTACACACTGTCTCAATTACATGTTTGCCTTTGCAGATAAGTTTAGTATAAATTAGTTATAAATTAGTTTATAGCTTCGTTCCACATCTTTATCACCACTGCCAAAAGCTCATAGGAAAAGGAGACAGACAAACTGCGAGTGCTGCTGCTGCAGATTGGTGGCAGGGTGGCTCGCTGCTGCTGAAAGCACCGTGCTGATGTGCAGCTCTGTGCACACACACGTCACACGGACAGCCTGGGCCTACAGCAAACACATGCAATGCTTTATTTGATTTCCCTTTCAAAACGTTTTGAAGGAAGGGCTGACATTTTTCCCATGGTTAATCATGGAACTGGGCACCGCTTCGTGCAGTTCCTCTCACTTTACTCATCCAAAACATTCAACGGTCCAAACGGTGTGATTAAGGGAAGGAGAAACGGGGCCAAAAAAGGAAACATGAGGAGTGAAAATAGATGTCTCCAATAACTTCTATCAGAACATGAAGCCCTTTGCTAAAAATCTGCTTTAAATCAGGAGCTGCTGAAACCCATCAGCCCGGGGAGATGGCTCTTGAGTGAGGGCCAGGCTGTTGGCCTCGCTCCATGCCTCAGTTTCTCAGCACCTGTGGGAGACACCTCGTGGGCATGGAGGGAGAGCCCCAGCGCCGGGCTCGGAGCCTGGGGGATGACGTGAGGAGGCAGCTCGGTGCTGCGCGCCTGTGCGCAGTGAGGCCAGTTACACCGAGAGGCAGCTCGACAGCCTCTCGGGCGTTGACGCCACGACGCGGTCGGTGGGGGCTCAGCTCTTTTGCCGCCGTGCGGGGCCGGGACAAGGAGCGCAGGTGCCTCGGCTTTCCCTCCCTCCCTCTTGCGTGCGATTTTCTCATCCCTCGGACGCAGTCCCCGTCCCTGCCGGGAGAGGAACGGGGAGCGCCATCCACACGTGCGGGAGCCCTTTCCCTCCTTCCCCCCCGCCGACAGCCGAGCCGCGCGGCGCGGTGAGTCACCGGCAGGTCAGCCCCGCGCCTAGGGGCGGAGAGACCGAGGGGACCGCCGCCGTACCGCTGGGAGCCGCCACCAGCACGCCGGAGGCGCCGGAGGGAAGAGCCGCCCCGCAGCTCAGGTACCGCCGGGAGGCCCTCGCCCGCAGCACCGCACCGCAGCCCAGGTAGGGCGGCAGCACGGGCAGCTGGGCTGGAGAGGGGACTCAGAGAGGAGCGAAGGAAGGGGGCAGTCCCGGGGCGCGTAGGTGTGCCGGGCTGCGCCCCGCCCCGCCCCACCCGGCCGGGCTGGGCCGGGCCGAGCGCCGGAACGGGGAGCGGGAGCGGTT